AAATGAAAAGGATAAAAGACCAAAACAGAATGTTGCCAAACATATTTAATGAACAAAAGCAGGACAATATGATGCTTTGCTGTAACAATGGCGAGATAGTCATCAGCGCTACTGACCAAATGGAACATCAACAGGCCTAAATGCTGCATAAAACCCAAGATGGGGCATCAGGAACAAGATGGAGGAAATTATAAATGTTTGTCCTAATATCTGACTAAAGGAGATTATGTCCATCTTGATATGCCACAAGGATTATGTTCTTCACAAAGATTGTCACCATTCAGAGCCATGTCTGGGATGTTTAATCCTCGGCAAAGTTACAAGCAGGATTGCTTTGAGCCCAACATATATTTGCTGGAAGATTTTTAACCACATATTCCTAACCAAAGTGAAGCAACAAACAGAAAACATCCATCCCACCAAATGTTTCAGATGTTTCCTTGGCTTTCCGTTGTATTGGAGGTTTTTGTTTTTTCAAAACAGCTGTTTTCTGAATAAAGTGATAAAAGGAAGTCAAACAGTAAGGAGCAAATATATATATGTAAATGAAAATGAAATGAAAAATACGGTAATAATACTGTAAATAAAATACAGTAAAGACATTATTGTACTGTAAATGCAATTACAGTACTAATACTGTAAACATTTTTACAGTAAATTACTGGCATCCAGCTGCCAGTACGTTACTGTAAAATTTACAGTAACCTATTTACAGTGTAAATAATCAGATCCAGTTACGAAAGAGCTCATTTTATTAATTATTCATTGACTCAAAACATTTTAAACTTGTGCTGAAACGCAAAACTCTCACATGGGTTATGCTGATGAATATCTGAACAATTCTGCTTGATTCCAGATTTCTGGTGAAGATTAAAGCAATGAACACGGCAGAGCATTTTCATATCATTACCTACAAAATACTTCTTAAATAGCCTGTATGAACCATAAATGAAACTACAAAGATGTTGTACAGTGAGCTTGGCCACTATGCAACTCAATTGCAGCAGAAAATTTAAACATAATTTAAAACACAAAAAAAGTTTTTTGTTTTTTTTCTTTACCTACACTGTCTTTAATCATCTGGTGGGATAGCTAAATATTTTTTAATTTGATTCCCTTACTCTTTTTATGTCTTTCAAAAGCCTCAAACAAGTTGAAACTATGCAAAACTGTGGTCTGACAAGCTCTGAAAGTATTATTGCAGTTTGCTTTAGGGACCATGACACAGATCCAGTTCATTTCAGCCCACATGACTGTGACATCAGCATGAACATAGCCGGCATTAAATCCTTCAATACAGTGCAGTTCAGTCTCATTAGAAAGACATTAATGAACAAAACTACATCCAGAATGAACCACGAGTTCCTTCCTGAATACAATGGCGTAAATGTTTTTGAATGTAACAGCATGGCACAGGTTCCGTGGCAAAATTATAATATACTTAAAACTAACCAAACTCATTTTTATTTCAATTAAATATAAAGTAATGGAGCTGAAGGCTGAATTTTGGTTTGTTTTCGATTCTAACACCTTTAACATACTGTAAATACTCAAATTCTTCTTGTGCACACTAAAAGTGGATGAAGTAAATTTGTAGGGCATAAGTAATGGTTTTCAGTGCCGCCGGACAGAAAGTGAACCCTTGGCCTATGTTAGATCAAATTTCAGGTAAGGTTTAATGCATGGGTTCAGCCTGCCTTGAGGTAACAGTAGCAACCTGAGCGAACACATCTGTTGATGTTACAGCGTTTTCATCTGTTCATGTCAACACACATGTTCTAAACCCTTCCCCAAGGAATAAAGGCACATTTTAGTGCGTAATTACACACATTTTGTACAGATCACAGTTGTTCTGTCATTGCAACAAAATACGAAATCTGCAAAAGCCCTGGCAACCTGCTCTAATCTGTTTCACATCCCCACATACACAAGCTCACTGTCTGGCTCTCAACACTTCATGTGCTTTGTTAAAAGTGTATCCAAGTTCTCCTCTTACCATGGTGGCCGTCCAGCTCGAGTTTGTTGTCCAACTCCATAACTTCAAAGACAGGCAAAATCAGACATGCTCTCTGTGCCAAGGGAGGGGAAGACAGCAACGGTTCATGAGGAGGGTACTCTCTCTCCCTCTGCCTCGTCACCCGTTTGCCAGAAGAGCGCTGCCTCCCGTGTAGCCTGCCTGCCTACGCTCTGTTCTGGCTGGAGCGTTGCATCTGGCAGATCTGAGCTGGGCTGAGCCACTTCTCTGGGCCCCACTCACTCCCACTTGAGCACCATAGCTCTTAAAGACACAGCAGGATTTTTCACTTGCTTTTCCTCTCTCTCTCTCTCTCTCTCTCTCTCTCTCTCTCTCTCTATGAGAGCATGTCTTTCTACCATCCTCTAGATATATTTTACAGGCAGTGTTATTTAAGTATCATTGAGATTTTCAATCTCTCTTTCATAGTTTTTATGAATTGAATTATTTTTATATATTTTGCATTTTCATTTTTACTTTTACTTTGGTTAACATTTTAGTAATTTTGTGGGTTAATGCCTATATAGTTTTTATTATTTTTAATTTTGGTTTTAGTTATAATAGTGCATCAAGTTAAATGAAATGAAAATGATAAATGTTGCCTCGACAACTAGCTGAAATTTGATTAAAAATGTCAATAAGTTTAAAATAAGTTTCCCATTTTATTTCACAATATAACAATGAGGTGAACATAGGGGAGTTAGCTACTTTCATTACTTAAAGATGATGTTCTAATTTTTGTCATGTCTGCAGATGCTGTGCACTTTCTAAAATGAAAAACTGGAAATTAATCAAGAATATTCAAGTTTTTTTCTCCATTCTTGCCTTTCTATAATCCAAAACTCAAACAAAACATGTTTTCTTGGAAATACTATTTTAACTGCTAATCAATTTATAGTTTTTTCTTTATTTTTTATTACTCCTCATGATCATGTTAGTCTTTTGTAAATATCAGTAAATATTAGCAATGCTTTGTAAGAATTGTGTAAATAATGAACTTATCATTTCTAACATTTTTATAACAAATGAGTATTTTTTTAATTTGAAAGAAAAAAGTGCTTAAATAAACTTGGCTTTGATCACACTACGCATAATTCAGCCTCATTTACAAATCCAATTGCCCACATGTAATGAAACCAATATGGATCACAGTTTCCACAACTGTTTATCTACGTCTATTATATAAAATAGTATATAGCTATTACTGTGGAAAGAGGGAACAAAAAACTGGAAATATTATTTATGCTTATGTCCAACATACAACATCATACTTCACCAAAATGCTCACAACTCATGAGGAGGCATTATTGTACTATTAACAAATGCACTGTATCCAAAACTGATCACTCATTCACTCGACCATTCAAAACACAGATAATGCTACATATAAGAGCGGACACTACAGCACTTAAAGACTTTACAGACTTAACACCCTGAAGGAGGAAAGAACCTGAAACTTGAAATCCGATCAGACTGCAACGCATTTCCAAAAATCCAATTTTAATCGGATTTCAAACCACATATGGATATCAAGTGTGTTTCTCTTTTACGCTATGACAGATTAGGATGCTGATGATGCACAGGAGGGTGTGTGGGGTTTAAATGTGTGTCTCTGCGGGGGGTGTGCAGAGTAAACAGCATAGAGACATTTGCGGAGTCAGCAACAAGCTGCCAGTGTCTGACACACGCATTAAAACAGTGCTGAGCTGCAATGACACCACGGCTCACACGACAGAGAAGAATCTTACTGAGATCTAAAAGGCAGTCAATGTGTACCCATGATCATACACTACCATTCAATAGTTTCGAGATCAGAAAGATCTTTTTTTTTAATTAAGACTTTTATTCAGCAAGGATGCATTTAATTGATCAAAAGTGATAGTAAAGACTTTTACATTGTTACAAAACATTCCTATTTCAAATAAATTAATATTAATCAAAGGATCCTTAAAAAAAAGATTAGTTTCCACAAAAATATTAAGCAGCACAACGATTTTCAACATTAATTAAAAACAAGAAATCAGCTTTGCCATCACAGAAATATATTACATTTCAAAATATATGAAAATAGATTTATTTTAAAACAATACAATTTCACAAATTACTGTTTTTACTTTATTTTTGATCAAATAAATACCACCTTGAGACTTCTTTCAAAAACATAAAAAAATCTTACCAACCCAAAACTTTTGAACGGTGAATGTGGCATTTATGTGACACTCTTATACTTTTAATTTTTTCAAACCTTAATTTTTAATACTGATTAAAGACAGACAGACAGACAGACAGATAGACAGATAGACAGACATAGACAGATAGATAGATAGATAGAACCATATTGGCCAATTTAATGCAAGAGTTCTCTTTAACCTTTTCACAAAACAAGCGTTAACATAATATGTCTCGTCCTCAAATTCAACGGCATTGTGAACCAGAGTCCCTATTAGGCAATTCTAAACAATAGCTGTCCTGTAACACCATCATAACTATGCTTCCCACTGCAAATGACTGGTTTGCAGCCTGTCCGAGACAAGCGGAAAACAGTCTACAATGTGTTCCATCATGCTCTATTTCATGGGTCTGTCTATTGGTGTCACATCTGAACTTTAACTAAATGAAAGCGAGCGGCATTTTGAAGTTTGTATCATTTCAAATCCACTAATATGAGTAAAAGAAATATATTCTAATACATTACATAAAGAGTAGCTAAATCTTAACTTGCATAAGTTGTCTCTGCCTATGTCAAAATCACTAATTTAGAACAGTGTACTAAAACTCAGGATAAAGATTCCATTGTAAGGGTAGTGTAGATTAGCAGCAGCAATCAAGCGATTGATTTTGTATTCCACTTTGTCAATGACACCTGATTACCTTTAAAGACTATTATCAGAGTTTATTACTCATCAAAGTGTTTCTTCACTGTCCAAAGGGGGAAAAAATGAACAGAAACAGGTGTGTACAAGTATGCGCTCCAGAACCTACTTACTGGCATTTCTGGTTTGGGTGCTCTGGTCTTTACGGAGCTGAACTCCCTCAGGAATGCTGGTGCTATGTCGCAGGAGCCATACAGTGCATGATTCAGCACGGCACTCTTGGAACAGCAATGGACTGATCTGAGGACAGGCCACAGAAGTTCAGAGTTCAGAGTGTTAGTGGGTAAGGCCTTTAAGAAAGACTCTAGCATGCTAAAGAAAGCTCATCCTCTCTGCTCTGACCTGTTACTATGAACTTGTTGATATGTGCTGCCCCCTTGAGGTCAAAGGGCACCATCAAATGTAAGGTCAGAACCAAAAAGATTCAAAACTCATTCATTTTCAAAGTCTCATTAACTAAAAATATATGCATTTTCAAATAGTCATAATGAAGCCTAGCAGTGAAGCACAATATCAGCAGTCACATTTGTATCGGCCAATAAATGTGACTTCTTAATGCTTTCAGTATCAGGCCAATATAGTTAAGCCAACAACGTATAGCCAAATGATTATAGGACCCCATATTATTTCTAAAAGGCAAATTATATGTTATATATAATGAATATATATTTATACCTCTCTCTTGTCCAGGAGAACTAGCTGACATTCTGCAACCAAGCAAAACTTGACCTGCCATCCGAATGGTTCTGAAAGTGGCTGTCCACAAGATATCCAGTGTATTGATGAACCTTTCATGTCTGTAAAGCAGAAAAAAGTATGAGAAATGATAAAAGGCTGGATTCATGGATAACTTACAATCACGATAAGATCAAAGAGTGTGAGTCTAAGCAGCTAAAAACAGGTGACCCAGTGGTCATAAAGCCAGCTGGCATACAGCTCTATGAATGGACAATCCTTCCTGCTTGGCCTAGATTCAGTTGCATGAGTATTGTTTTGTATAAAAACACAAAGTTAATTGAATTAAAGAGCCTTCCATTTCTTTAAGTTAATTTACTGAGTTTAAAAAAAGAAAATTTAAGAGACTGACTGGTTGTAGTGCATCTTTGGGACTGTTTATATAATAGAATTAGGAAAATTATTAAATCATTTTGCTGACTAAAGGGCAAGACACTGAGATATATATTCCTGAGCCAGCAAGACAACTCTGTTTGCAATAACAAACTAAAAAGACTTGATACCTAATTTACTAATGTTGGTTTCAAACACCCTATTTAAAATAGTTTTCAATCAGAATTGTTTTTTTGTTGTTGTGTGAATTCGGTCCACCTAACAAAAATTTGAATATTTATATTTTTTCCATTAGTTTTGCATTGGAGAACACAAGAAAACCACTCTTACATACTGTATATTTAAATTCGAGTTATCTATATAATGAAGGTAGAATTTAGCCGACAAGTTAAACTGTGAATAATTAGTTATTAGTTAATAGCCTAGTTATTTATCAAAAATGTCTGGGTGGGGCAAGTTGACACATTAGTTAATATTTCCAGTCAAGTGGGCACTTAATAAATTGCAGAAATTTACAACACTATTTGATATTTTACTTGTTGTTGATTTTTTCACAATAATTTCACTGTTTACTTTTCTGAAAAGCCTATAACAAAACAAGGGTGTTTAATAATAATGACCATAAAGTGCTTAAGACATGGCAAAAAGCAAACAAATGTTATGAACTGTATCTTTAATGTAATAACATTAAATAATGTTTTATTGAGACTTGTAAGGCATGTGTACATACAGGAATTATCATTTAAATATAAATGTATCCTAAGAAGCACTGCAGCAACATGTGTGACAACTAGCCTCAGTCGCCCTTAGGCTACATATGGCAAACAAACAGTCATAAATATACACAAAATTACTTAAGAAATCTCAGTTCGCCTCAAAACAAATGATGTACTTACCGGTGACCCTCATCCAACCCTGGTGCTGACAGCGGGTGATGTATGTTGACATAGTGGTAGGACCACTAAACATGTCAGCCTGCAGTTTTCAACATGCAACATTCCAGGACATTTGCACACCTGATGGACGCCTCATAATGATTAAACCGTAAGGTGCCATCACAATGAACTTTTAAAAGGAATGATGCTGGCTTGCGCGTGCAGACTATTAACCCGTTTTTATTGAGAGTCACTGAGAGTGAAGAGTACACAAGGTGCCACGTCATGTAATACCTTAATTAAATTAATGGATTAAACTCTCTGGCGAAGAAAGCAACTCATCTGTCCACAAACACAAAACTCTCTCTCTTTAAAAAAAATAACCAAGCCTGAAAAACACAAGCGACTCTTTCATTTGGACAGTTGTTTTGAATTTGGCAGGTTCGTTCTGAATTCTAGAGAACAACAAGTTACACAATGACTATATTATATTTTCTACACTTTTTAAACGTACATTCTCTTACTCTTATGTGATGAAAAGTCCAGTTAATCATGGCTACTGTGCTTCCGTTTACACTTATATTTGTGTCTGTATTAATTGTGCAAAATAAATAATACCAACACGCCTGTGAAAATGTTTGTACAGATACATGAGACACAATTATCGCTGACAAACTGTTTTAATGGTCTGAAACAGGAATGAATGAATAATGACATGCAAGTTTGCAAATTTTAAATGTCTGAACACTGTTCCAAAAAACAAATACATGGTTTACCATGTACGGCTTTGAGGGTGCTGTGTAGAAAAGTTGTCAGAAAAGCATTGAAAACAGCTTAATTTGAATCTTATACAAAGGCAATAGGTTGTTTCTCTTCTAAACATTGTTAAACTTGTAAACAAAATATAAAACTTCTCTTGAAATGTGAGCAAGACGACATACAAAAACTTGTGAGCATGATCAATACAACAAATCGTTGTGTTTTGTTGACAAAACTGTTGGCTTTAAATTTCACATATGCTTTTCCTTTGGGGAAATATTATAAAAGTAAAAAGTAAATACTTGAAATATCTTTTTATACATTTTAAAAAAATCAATTAGAAAATATAGGTCAATTTATCGAATAATAGCTTGCATAGCTGATAAAACATGTTAATAGTGCAATAATAAAATGGGGCTAATCTTATATCCAATTATATACATGTAAATAATAAAGTATATTTATAATGTCGTGTACTATAAAACTAATTAAGTCAAATTATAGAACCTGACAGCTTTAAAACTTCACATAAATTTAAATTTTCCAGTCAATCCAATCATCTGATAAGTGCCACTTCCAGATCCATCTCAAATATAACAACAATCTTTGGAAACCTTGTAAAAACATTGATTTGACATTGATATGTGGGCAAATGTTGAAAAAAGCCTAAATTCTATTGCTAATTAAATGCAAATGATCACTTTCCACTTTCAGTTTCATTCTGCTTTCTCAAAGCAGGTACTGTTTATCCAATCTGACATGCCAGAGCATACAAAAGCATTTCAAATAGAAAAAATACTTCTCAAAACAGTATTTGCATCACTTTGGTTATATAATCACCTAGATCGAATTCAAAAATTATGGCTGAGCAGGAAAGAACCAAAGTGCTGACATTTTAACATAGCTAAAAAGCACCGCTGTACTGTTATCTTAGGTGGACAAACAAATGTGTGTATTTGTCTTCTGCACAAATACTGAGAACTGACCAAAACAAAATGAGTTACTTTAAAGGAATAATTCGCGGAAAAATTAAAATGTGCTGAAAACGTACTCACGCTCCGGCCATCCAAAATGTAGATGAGTTTGTTTCTTCATCAGAACAGATTTGGAGAAATGTAGCATTCCATCACTTGCTCTGCAGTGAATGGGTGCCGCCAGAATGAGAGTCCAGACAGCAGATAAAAACATCACAATTAATACACAAGTAATCCTAAAGACTCCAGTTGATCAGTTAATGTCCTGTGAAGCGAAAAGCTGCATGTTTGTAAGAAACAAATCCATCATTAAGGCATTTTAACTTTAAACCGTCATTCCCTTTTGTCCTCTCACATCAAAATCCACCAACATACTTGTTTAGAACTGTTTTTGCTTGTAAATGGTGCTTGATCTGTGCATATTTCTCTCCTGATTCAGACAAGACGACTTTGTCACTGGAGAATGTAATATTATGGATAGAGGTCTTGTTTAATTTAGCCGGAAGCAGATGAACTCTTAATGATGACGGTTTTTTTTACAAAGACAGATTTTCGCTTCACAAGACATTCATCGATGGACTGCAATCATATGGATTACTTATGGATTATTGTGATGTTTATATCAGCTGTTTGGACTCTCATTCTGACGGCACCCATTCACTGCAGAGGATGCATTGGTGAGCAAGTGATGTGATGCTAAACTTCTCCAAATCTGTTCCGATGAAGAAACAAACTCGTCTACATCTTGGATGACCTGAGCGTGAGTACATTTTCAGCAAATGTTCATTTTTGGATGAACATTAAACTCAAAACCTGACACGAACTTTGAAGTGCTGAATAACAGGAACTGAAACTCACTGGGGCGAATGAAACCGTTTGAATCCCAAAATTAAACTGAAATAACTTCATGTTGTATAATACTGTCCTTTATCTCAGGGGTGGCGAACTCCAGTCCTGGAGAGCCGCAGCCCTGCAGAGTTCAGCTCAAACCCTAATTAAAACTCACCTGCCTGTAGCTTCCTAGTGACCGTTCAGACCTTGATTAGCTTGTTCAGGTGTGTTTGATTAGGGTTGAAGCAAAACTCTGCAGGGCTGCGGCTCTCCAGGACCGACGTTCGCCATCCCTGCTTTATCTGCTACCTAATAATGACGTTATACTGTGTAAGAATAACATATGTTACCAGACTGAATGATGTTTGTGATGTTTAAAGTGCCCTAAAAGGACACTGCAAATGACTTCACAAAAAAGACTTTAATGTCCCACCTGAGAGAAGACCAGAGTATCAGAAAAAAAAAACTATATGTGGTTCGTGGAAAAAAAGAAAAACAAAACTAGAACTCCGAAACTATGACTTTCAGAATAGCAAAACAGAGAGTAACTATTGGGGGGGGGACTGCGTGACACCTTCCTTTGCAGCCCATCTGTTCCACACCTCTGTTCTGTGATATTCAGTAAGGTGTAGTTCCTTCCCACTCCACCAAATACTGCACCTTCCCTTCAGGTGTAATCCTACGAGCCAGAACCTGATACTTCTCCCCGCAGGTGAGCCGACCGGCCGCCCCAAAATAGCTGGTGATGGAAGACTTGAGGTGAGACAGTGAGGAATCGTCCTCGCTGATGCTCTCAAAGGTGTGGCTGTTGATGCTGTTCTCCATCATGACGTTACTCTCCTCTCCAGGCATGCTGATGGGGCTCAGCTCACGCTCCACCATCTCTCTTTTTGTGGCCAGCGCAGTGTAATTAGAGGAGGGCAACTTCCTCTTCCGACTGCCCACATTTTTCCTGTAAAGAATATAAGAAGCATAAAAACTCGCCTTTCACTCAAAATGTTCTTTTTATAAATTTTTTTAAATGATATTTCAAATATTCTAGAACAACATTTCTGCTCATGTAACCAGTTTGCAGAGGTGGGGGAAGATTATTTCTTCACAATACAATCAAATCCCATAAAACAAATCAAAATCAGTCAAAATCAAGCCTGGCTATGTTCATAATGGAAGACATGCTTATTAATTACTGTATACAGCCTGCTATCATTTTATATTTTAAAAAGAACATATAATTTAAGGAAAGTGAAGAAAAATAAATAAATACATACAAACCTTACATTTTTTTCTGATGCTGAGAATTCAGATTTTCCATCACGGGAATAAATTACATTTTAAAATCTATTTAAATTTTAATATTTCACAAATATTACAGTTTTTACTGCAAATTTACTGCATAAAAAGATTAATATTTTATGATAATTTATTTTATATTTCAGTTAAAAATGTGCACTACTCTGTGTTCTGCTTGAATAAAAATACTAAAAAAAAACATGTATTATTTGTTGTATTATCCATTGAATGAATATTAAAGAAATTTAACAAAAAAGGTGCAGTTGTATAGATGCACTAATACTGTCTACCACAAGATGTCCCTGTTTAACACTGAATTACTTCCTAGCCATACGCTGTCCCCTTTCAGTTGCCTCAGTGGGCGTTATGGCATTTTAAAGGTCATGCAGCAGAACTGGACTTTTAGGTATCCTTTTCTCATGCTGCAAATCTTCTGGGGAGTTTCCATTCTGCATAAACACCATAATCAGGTTTCCTACACATTTTTACTAATAAATTTACATGGCTTTGAGACAATATTCATGACCTAATGGTTCATTATTTAATGGTCCAATCAGGGGCGGTTCTATGGG